AGGATCCCACAATGTGTCTATCATCACCTACAGGTCTAAGTATAAGGAGATCATTATGCCGATCAACACTCCTAGAGTCATTGTGGGACCTCCTAACATCGTCCATGTACGGGTATCGGACCCCAATGCCCTATCATACACTACCGTTAATAATCGTCAAGAGCTTCGAGCAGTGTATCTATTTGGATACAAGAGTATAGTACTACTACAATGGAATTCACGACAATGATCAATATTTTCAACATAAGTAAACCAAATATAATGCATGGTACAATAATATTTCCGCGCTTAATATAATCAACTCAGTATGCAATTAAGTCACAACCATATCATCAAATATCAGCAACACTAGTAGTGTAGCAGAAACTCCAATCAATTACAAGACAAACAATGGGAAGCACCAAGCGGCCTAAATTTCATTATTCAACAATTGAACGAATGAATAAAGATCAAAAGGTTGGCAAGCTCTGGCCGTCAAGTTCTATTGAAAATGCCAAAATTCAACCATGTTAATCCCTATGTTGCTCTCTTATATGCAAAGTTAAACCTTGCAATGTCAAAGGACTGTTTCGTGTTGAGTTGTTGCTTGCTAGTTCACTAGACTTCCCTTTAGGGGGTCTAATTTACCTATGATGTGTTGTTGAGCATTGCATCAACTAGTGTATCACATTACTTTGTACTGTTGTTGCAGTTACCAATATTCACCATAGTATGCACACGTAAGTCCGAATTTGCTTTCACCAAATATTTTGGAGTTATTTGGTCATCACATGTCATCATTACTTGTTTAAATTGTTCAAACTAAAGTGGTTTCAAGGGTTAAAGCGCTAAAATGGAAGATGAGGGAAATTGGGAGATTTGGGTGTCAACAACCCCAACACCCTCTCCCCGGGGGTTGACTCGCATCCCGTTGATTTCACTCTTGGGAATACCACAAGCCGAGGAAGCATTTATACTGTCCTTTCTAAAATTTTACATAATTAACACATTTTCAAGAGGTCCTTCAAAAGAGTTTGTCATTTTTCAAATGAAAGGGGCAACTATTTATAGAAGTAAGGTTATGAGTGTAAATGTCATTTTAAAATTTCTATAAAATAATGTATCCTTTAGTGTGCTACTTGACGAGATCCTATTGCTCGTATTTATTCATAATTATTCATACTTGTGTACGCCTCGTAGCCATCCTTGTCCACAACTGCACAATAGTTGCAAAAACTTGCACAATCATTTCTAAATTTTAGCAAATAAACCTTCTTAGCACCATTTTCGATATTTTTCCCTAGTTTTCATTGTAGCATTGAATTTCCTAGAGAAAAAAATTGTAGAAAAATCCTAAAAACCACTAAAAGTTCGGGATGTTACAATAGGATCAACATTTAAAGGGACAAACCGCTAATAAGAATTGCATAATTAAATAA